CCCCGAGGGATGCCCGCCGAAATTAGTCCATATTATTTCGGTGAGCGCGAGGCGCGGGGACGGAAGCAGTTAGACGGGCGGTTCACTATCCGAAAGACGACAAGGCGTCGACGGGGAAAGACGAATCGGTCTTCGGAAATCTAGGATGACATCGCTTGATCTGATTTCATATGGCGTATCTCTAAATAAAGGAATCCTTAGAAAAAAATATTTTTATACAGAATTTTATATCTAAATATTCAGATAATTATAAATGACATTATTTCCATATATTATTTTCTAATCATAAAATTTGAATAAAATTAAATAGATAAATCAATCTTTATCGATTTTCAATCACAATGCAAATCTTTCCATGAGAATCATCTATCTCCCCGAGTCCATGTTACTTTAACGCGTATCGATCCGGTCATAAGACAAAGCGCCACTCGTTCGTTAGAGAGTCGAGACGGAGGCCGCCACACGTCAGGGCCGCTTTAAACATGATCAGGGCATGTCGTATCTACCGCAAGACCCAATCTCCGTCCCGCATTAGTTCTATCGATAACGATATGTCTCGAACACACACATTCACCCTCGTTTCAGCCATGTGCACGCCGGCTTAATCGTCACGTAAGTGCATCACGAAATGCTGGTCGTTATCTCTTTGTGAACGAGGGGATAATCACTTCAATTAAGCGGCTTTCCTATAGATTCCGCGTGCGTGCGTGCGTGCCTGCGTGCACGCATGGATCCTGTCATGGGAGATTTCGTGCTGTGCCGATCGATATCAATAATATCCTATCGCATAAATATAAATATCGAATAATTTTACCAAGGACCTTTTATCGGTCTGGTCGTTTAGTAAGCGTGTCGAGTTTTATCATCAATCATCATTCGCCGGATCTTGCAGTAATGATCGAAGTTGAAGCACGTTATTTTCGGATTACTTCGCTGATGAACAGATTAGGTCGGGATAAAGATTGTATTCACCATGATGTGCGATAATGTTCGAGGAAAAATCTGTGAAAACAAATCGCAACGCGTCCATAGAGTCTGCGCGCATCTCACGCCGATATATCGGATTTTCCTCGTTTTTTTTATCTTTTTTTTATATATAGATGTAAAAAAATATTACATTCCGCTCGCCGACGGTATTGGTTATTAAACGTTTTCGAATGAATACTGCATGAGCGCGCCACGCTCGAGAATATACTCGTCTGTGTTGTATCCACTTGCCCGTACGTGGACACATGCACACACTCGAATACGATCTGCGACTGGCGTTAAATAATTTTTTGCTTTTCGCAAAGTGAAAAATGTGATATCCGTAAAAAGTAATCCGCTTGTCCGAACAGTAATCGGATGAACCGATTTAGATCGGGCATACATTCGATCGCAAAAGTCTATGGAACTTAAGAAAAGTGTAAAAATGTGAAACTAATACTTCTATTTAGATTTTTCTGAGAAATACATCCGACAATTAAAAAATGTATATGTATATTCTGTAAGAAAGAGAGAGAAACGGTGTTGCATGTTAAAAGCACTTAAGATAACCATGGTCTAAATATACGAACGATCCCAGCAAATCTGTAATTCGTTTTTCTCACATCTATTCTTGTGTGTAACCGTCGACCGTTTAGCGTGACAACGAAACAAATCGTTGCTTCATCTTTTTTGATCATTCTTCCACGAAAACGTTCTTTAGCGATTAACAAGATTAGCAAACGCTTTTGGAATTTGTAAATGAACAAAGAAACCACAAAGCGAATGCACAAACTGACACGCTCCACTTGTACGGATTTCTAAAAGGAAGAAAGTACAATTTACAAAATCTCTTGGCAGTAATATAAATCATTAATAGTTTAATCATTAATTAATCATTAATAGTTTCGATAATATAATTGTCTAAACTCAATCTCAAAAAATCTATAAAATTTTTCTATGTAAAATTTTTGGGAATTAAATAAACAAGAAAATGTCTTTATCTTATTTATTATCTGTTTCATTTGTTTCATAGTAATAAATTAAATTTTTATAAAGATTATCTTCAAAATAATGAAATATCGATAGATAAGAAAAGAGACGCAAAAAAATATATTATATAAAAAATGTAAACTGTCTTATGTAAAATAAACACATATAGAATTTTCCAAAGAGTTCTAAAGATTTTGTAAAAAATACGTGATGTTACGCAAACAATGTTATGCTAATTATGACTGTAATTGCTTAAGTTAGCATTATTAAACGGATCTGTGACAGAGTAACAGAAAGCTTGTAGTCTACTCTCTCTCTCTCAAGTACTTGGCCCTATACCTTGAAGTTTATGAGATTTGTCCTTGTATTATTCTCACAAACGGATGTCTAGACTCTACGTTTACCGCGGAAAAGTTCAAAATTACCTTTCTCGGGGTATTACCTACAGCATTCATTCATCATTCACAACCTGTCGTCTGGACCGTGACTGTTCCAACTAATTTGGTCCGCGCATTTCTTTCCGCAGAGTCAACCAGCGCCAAGAAAAGCCCGCAGCTCTGTTTGCTTTTGTTCTTCTGAACTATTTCCAATTTGTTTTCCTAAAGCAGCAACTCGAACAAACCAGCTTCTTTTGTCGAACATCTCGTCCCTCGTTCGTGCACAAATAAAATAGATTGACAGATTGAAGACATGACATTCACGAGTTTTATCCATCATTTATTCATCCAAAATTCATCTGCCGCTGGAGAAATAAAATTATAATAATAAAAGTAGGATTGTAGTAACATTAGTATATAATTCTATATATCAAAATCACGTTGTTTTCATATTTTTCTTAAGTTTCGTAGACTTTTGCGATCGAGTGTATGTCCAATCTAAATGGTTTATCCGATTATAGTACTTGGATAAGCGGATTACTTTTTACATATTAGAATCCTAATAATATCACAATGGTCAATTTAAAAAATGGATAGATAGAATGGATTGTTGAGAGTAACATACTACTTTATCTTTCATTCTTTTTTCTATTTACATTGACAATAAAATAACGATATTGTAATTTATTAATAATAAAAACCGTTAAATATCATATTATCAGTATTATAATGTATTATAATGAAATAACAAGAATATCAAATAGGACACTGGTAAACGAGTGTTAGTCAAAGGTTAGAACTGTACTTGGTAGAGTATTATTTGCTAAGCTAATGAGTAGTTTCTGCGTTGTTCGACAATCAACAAAGGCGAACAAAGGACTTCCGGTCACGTCGACGGACTGTCGAGAACTCTGCCACCATTTAGTTTGGACTCCTTCACGCGATAACTTTGCTAACAGTAGTGACAATGCTATGTAAACAGCTGCAATTTCCCTCGCTTTTAAGTATGTAGTGTTAGAAATTAGGAACATACGCGATGTAACAATGATAAGCATACATAATACGCAAAGCGATAATTTTTTAAATTGAACAATTCGAGATTTTACAATAGAGTTCTCTTGCTCTGTCTATTTTTCTAACTTTCTTTATTTCGTATTTTTCTAACTTTCTTTATTTCGTATTTCAATCATTGAATTAAAAGAATGCTTTTCTTCGTTCAACTTTGGAATAATTATCATATATTTTCACAACAAAACCGTGTATATATAATCTTTTAATTTAACTATATAATTTTATTATCATTCATATTTAATCACGCACCGTGGAATACTTGTTTTATGGAAAATACGGTAATAAATCTTCCCCTACAATATTCTGTTTCTGAATTAATGACGCAACAAGAACAAGATATTAATGATCTCGAAGCAAACACGTGGTATCCAGAGATTTATCCAGCATACGTGGATACGCCACGGCGTATATCGACACGAATGAAAGAGCTCTCTCTCTCTCTCAAAGACAGATAACGAGGCAGCGAAAATAACGATATGCGCGATGCCGAACGTGCAATTTCCTAATGTGGCCATTTCGCAGGCGGCTGAAAACATCTTTGATTATTCTCGTAATAAGCGAACGGACGCGGGCACAAGTGCTAATGGGCGCGCGATAATCATTCGGACGCGACTAAGGAACACGGAAGGGCCTGGCACTTCAGCATGCGGTGCAGTTTTTACTCTTTCGCGGGATTTCCCGCTCTGCTTTTCCCTCTTTTTGTTCAGTTAACAACCGCAACGTACCTTGCTAACAAAGTGTGTTAATGGCGCGCGGCTGATTAAAGGTTTTAATCCCCATGTCCGTAACTTCGGTTCTTCTTCTTCCGTGCGCGTTTTCGTCCAAAAAGGCAAAAATAAAAGGCGACGCTCTTTGTTCGCGACGAACTGTCGAGCTCGTCGGTCATTAAAGTCGATCTCCGATGAAAAGTCGCCGTCGTATTGCCTCACTCAGCCGCGCGCGAGAGAACGCGAGCGAAAATGCGTACTGCACTCGCGGGACCGAACCTCCTCGAGCATCGGAAAACGAGCATCTCGTATTTCTTATTTTACGGAAGGTAGCGCAGTATTCCGCGGAAAATGCGCAGTAAGTATCCTCTCTGTCTCTGAGGACTAGAAGAGAAACTGAAAATATATATCGCTTAAGGGAATACTACGAAATCGAATAAGGATGCGTAGACATCGCTAGTCTACAAGCGACGTGATCGTAACGCTTCGAAATAATCGATGAGAGATATTTTTAAAAATATATTTGCCTAAATATTTCTCTAAATTTAAATTATAATTGGTAATACTATTGTGCGACAATATTGATGCAACGAATACCGATGTTATCCTGAGTAATCGTTAAAAGATAAAATAAATTTGTTCAATTACAATACGTTGGGCTTTGATAAGAATTTTAAACGAAAAAATTTTTCACAGATAAAATTAATTAGAACATTTTAAAATGACGGTAGAATTAAGATAACGGAATCGTTTTACGCGCTTGAGGAAATTGCACAAAGTTGCTCTTTACAACATGCTTCTTTTTTTAATTTAGATAAAGCACGAAAATGAGCACGGCAAATCCCACTTGGCGCAACGACGGAAATCAGCTACGTTTACGTAATTTCCGGTCGATTTGAGAAAAGCGTTAGCAATCCATTCTCGGAAAGCGTGCGTTTTAACGACGCCTCGATAAGAACGCACTGATGGAACAATTTCGTAACCAACGCTTTGGGATTAGGTATAAAACGTATTCGTACGTAGTGAAGCATCGCAATTCTGTTAAACGCCCAACATGAACCGACTTCTTCTCTTCGCATTGTTAATACATACTATTTTGGCCGAGTCATGTATCATTCAGGACAAGAAGGTACGGAAAATCGATTTAATCTTGCCGTTCAGACGTGTAGTGCAAACTATAGTGTTACACCGTGATTATGTGCTAATCTCTCTTGGTCGTTCCGTCTTAGGGAAAACCGGACATTCGGGTAATCGAATTAGACGACTCCAGCAAAGAATCCGTGAGTATTTATTATTATGCATATTTCACACATTGTAATTTCACTCTGTTTCATCACTCTGTAAAATCACTTTTTATATTTATTTTTATATTTCGTAAAGTTTTCAATAGTGATTTTGTGTTAATGATATTTCTAGACTGAACATACTTTTACGATTATTTTATAATAATATTAACATTATTTACATATATTAAGAACGAAGAGGAAATTTTGGCTCTGCATCTCCCGGACAGACGAAAAAGGGAAATCGATAATCAAGAGAGAAGCAATTTCTGTAGAAACAACGACGATTGCGGTCCAGGATCAATCTGTTTGGCACATCTGACTTGTGGTATGTAATATAAATTTCCTTAAGTTAAAGTTTATAGCTGTACATATTATTTGAGAAAATAAATAATCAAATATCTTTCTTTGCACAGTAAAGGGAACATGGCGGACTATAAATTCTCTACAGGCGAACACTGCCAATTAAAAATCGCACGATGCAATAAAGAAATGACGATAACGTAATGCATTTCCGTGCATGACGACAGTATGCCAATAAAATTTTTTGCGAAGTAACTTCGCCCTCGCGCAAACAATAAACGCGTTTGCATCAATCGAACGATCGATTTCCCATCATCGCCAATATCCAGCGGATATCTGTTTGCTTATCTGTATTTCGCGCGTCGCTGAAATTTCCCACTATACATCCATCCATTGTCAACGCATGAATATAACATAAACCCGAAAATATCGAGCATTTAATGGCGACCGTGGTCGCGAACGTATGTAGTAAAGCGGTTAAGTTACATTTTACACGCGGATTCGGAACGCCAACGAGAGAGGTACGACCGGCGTAAAAGCCCTCCGCCCCTTCGCCGCCTTCAAAAAAACAAACAGTATCGCCGGGGAAACATATGGCGCCGTACGATAGGGATTCATTAACGGCAGAGAAACGGAGTACGAGTGAGAAGCCGTAAGAAAGGAGGGTGAGCTCTCTCGTCGTCGTAAATTTAGTGGGAACAACTGCTTTCGCCTGCAAGCTCTGCCTGCAGCCTCGCCGCAACCACAATTCCGATCGAAACAGTGGACGCCGTCGAAAAATCTTACTGCGCATTAGAGATTTACACTCGAAATCAATTAGCTCCTAATTGACACGGGCGAAACGGTGCGGCCTGTTCGAGTATTGTTTGATTGGAAAACCATCGGACATTGGCGACACATGGATCGCAAAAGTTAGTCTCGATATCGCTTGGGAGATTGTCGTCAGTACGTGAGACTTTAGTGAGTGTGTAAGGAAAAACTTTAGTATAAGTAATAATAAATATCCCAGGTGACGGTTATATTAATAAAATATCATAAATTGTAGGTTACTAGATAACAATGTCAAATAAATGTTACATGCGTCAAAAGTTACATGACTCTCTGTTAAAAGCCAAACCAATTACTCACTGATGCATCTGTTCTGTACGCGTTTGGCGATGCAAAAATAAATATCATGTCCAATAACGTACGAAGAATCGGTCAGGGAGGAATTGTCGGTCCCGACGAGCAGCCAGTTGGTGTCTCGTAAAACCTCACGAAATTCAACGGCAGCGCGGAAAGATTTACGATTCCAGCGAGAAGAAGCGTAACATCCGTAATATCCTTTCTTCGCGAAGAGGTGGGCGGTGATTTTTCATGCGGGCCATTCTTCTCTCGTCACGAGGCTTCGTTTAATTTTATTTTAATACGAAAAAAATGGATCTCTCGAAATGCGCGTTATGCGCGGCAAGCACCCGAACCCGAAGAGATTTGCGAGAGGGGGAAGTCGTAAATATTTGCGCAACTCGTTGGCGCGGCGTCTGGTAAGGCGGCCAAATTTCGAGCACGTCAAAATATTTAAAGCCGAGAGCGCAATTAGCGAGAACCACCTTTGCTCCTGTGATCAGCGTTGGAGAAGCGTTCTCTTGCTCGTTCTTTCTCTCATTATCCTTGAGCAATTCTTCCGTTTCACAAAGAATGTCATAAAAATATATTTTTGATATTATTTTATTTAATAACCAGAAAGTCTAAAAAATGTAAGATTGACATTTCCTCGATAGTTTTTTTATATTTCACAAAAAATATAAATGTACATAAAAAAGTCAATCATGTTACATCAACTTTTGTAATATAATTAATCTTCTTAATGTATTGTCTTTTTTTGCTTATATCATTACTAGAATTAATAAAGCAAACGTGAAATAACATCTTTAAATTTCGGATTATTCAATATATTTTTCAATATATTGTTTCAATGTATTTCACTTGTTTTACTGTAATTATGTGCTATATTACTATACTCCATAATGCCATTTATATTTTATGGAAATTATGCTGTAGAGAATTAAAATATACAGAAGTTTATTTTGAGCAACAACGATAATGAGTCATTTCGCGGAGAGTCGACGAAAAATAGGCGTCGCGAGAGAAAAATTCCGACACGCGGACCCGAGTGCGAAACGGGTCGCGTTTTTTTACGCTCGATTTAAACGTCGTCTACGTGACAGGCGTGAAACCACCGCACGCATTCGCGCGTATACCATGCGTAGATCGCGACGAACCATAGCGAACACGTCGTTCCTCGCCTGTGCCGCATACCCTTTTCCCTGCGGATTTTATTTATCGTACGACTGATTTCAGACGACGAAGGAATAAATCGGCCATGCTCGCGTCGCGTGTGCGCAGAAAATAGTAAAAATAAAATTTCGGTTGGCGGAGAATTCCAAGCGAAAATGCTGTTAAAAGAAAGCTCGCTTTATATTCAAGAGAGAAAATTTTCTTATTTACTTCTGTGCCGATATGATATTAGAAAAATATAAAATTTTAAATGTATACATGTAACGCATTATATATAACGCATTGTTTCGCTTGATTTGACTGAACCAATAGAAAAAATTTCTAATGGATTTATTAAAAAGCAATTGTGATCAACACGAGAAATTCACACATACATGAAATAGATAAAACAGACAACTCCGAGAGAGATGTCAAACTCTCAATGTCAAATTCTCAATGAACTACCGAATAAAAACTACATCACGATGATTAGGTGTCAAGTATTGTCAGTTGACTTATTATTAGAACAAACTTGGTTCATTTTTCACGAATTCTTCCTGCATGTTCACGTAGAACGCGATGGACGCGAAGGACAGTCCACTCACATGGGACATAATATACGTCGGACCAAGAACTGAAATGTTCCTATATATTATGTCTCACGTGTCCGAAGACACGCATTCCAACTGAATGTGTTCGCGCCAAACAATGCTCTGGAATGCTCAGGCTAAACGATTCTTCGTGTCTACAATTACTTTGACAATCGTTCATGGACTCAGTTAATTTATTACTCTTATTTCCTTCTATCCCTTTGTTTTCATTTTCAATCTTACCTATTTCCGACCTAAACAAAATTGCATTAAAATTAATTCTAGATCTGGAATAATCTTGAAAATTGAATCTTAATTGAGCCTATCAATTTAATCTTTTTCGAGAAATTATTAAATTAAATTAATTTAATTAGAGCTGTAAAAATAATTTTAACTAAGTCAAATATCTTCAAATGTATTCAAATCAAATAAGTTAATACTTAAACATTTTTGAAATGTTTCAGAATTTCTTAAACATTAAGTACATCGCTGAAATTAAAAAAATTAGTTATTTTAAACTTATACCTTCGTTTTTGTTAAATTTCTTTCCTTCATAATGTCAAATCAACTGTAATTTTATTTCAATCAAGATTATCTAGACTATTACAGTTTTTTTTTCAACAGCATATTAGAAAATCCTCCCTGAGAACAAGGAAAAAACGACAATGGCTTTTAACGATCGTCCTAGGCGGCAAGTATCGCAAGGTTTCTCGCAATCGAAAGAACGAGAGGCGTCTTCTTTCCGCGAAAGTATCTGGAAAAATTCCTTCTTCCTTTCCCCGTCGAAGATTCAGAGGCACATAGTCGACAGTCGGAAGGGATCGCGACCCTTTTAAGACTCGCCTGCATTCTTATGTTCTGCCATTTCTGTTCTTCGCGGCTTGATTGCGTGGTTGCTTCGTTTTACGATGAATAGATCATCATCGATTAATGCTGTAAATAAAATATCGATTGTATAGTGCCGAGAAGACCGTATGTAAACTGCTACTTTAATTTATTGATACTGTAAATGCTGCAAAGATTTATATTCAATTTTTCAGAACAATCATTTTGCTGTTCTTTCATTAAACAGATATGTTAAATAAATATATGTCAATGTAACAATAAAGATAAGATCATAATTAAATATAAGAAATGCAATATTAAATGATGTTCATGGACCGTTGCATGCCAGTCTGCAATGCGAGTTGTTACCGCGTCGATAAAATGTGATAACGATATTCACGAGCAGCTGTAGAAAATTGTTGGTGCTGTTTGTGTTAACAGGAACATATGCCAGAAAAATTTGTGTTTCGAGGAGAACGAAAAAGTATGCGAGTGATCCGTCGTTGGAATTAACGTTTCTTGGTTTCAAAAAGAGCGCTCGCATTTCGTTCGACATTTCGTGACCGAAAAGCCTTTCGCATAAAGAACATTTTTACGTCGTCGGAACGTCGCGCAGCTCGATGCGAAACGTTTATGCACGCGTATTAAAAAATTCTTCTCTCGAAATTCTCGGGAATCCAATCTTTTTCCTTCTCGACAGTACGGCGGGCTCGTTACCGGGACGTGGGCAGTCACGAGACACGGAGAAGGCTGTCGTGGAAATAGAGTGTAAGCTCTAAGAGGAGATTCGTGAAGTTGAGAGACAGACGCACACACGTGCGTGTATACAGAATGAGTAAGCGAGTTAACTTCAGAGGCAGAAAAAGAGCGAGTGAAAAGATGGAGTTTTATAGAGAAGAACACCGGTGAAAAACACAGTAAAATAGAATATAAAGTTAGTAGTCCTCTCAGAATACTATACATAAAAGATGAATTGTAGTCAATGAATGTGTAAAGGCCCTTTTGAAAATATTAGATATACTGATATATAAGAAGAACACTTTAGTTCTTGAACGATTAAAGTAAAATATTTTTGTATTATTATTGTGCATTTTATCTTTCAATATAAAAGATATAAATATTAAACTGTAATATTAGCCATAAAGGAAGAATGATTTTAAAGCCGACGATGGTGCTCGTTCTTACGGTGAAAAAGCAATGGCTTTCGTAAATTACGGTGAAAAAGATAAAGAGAATAAGAAAGCTTTTGAGACAGATTTTAAGTATGATTTAAGACGTGCGAGAAAATAGAGGTGTAAGCAAAACGCGATGTTTTCCTGGCATCGCTCATCCGCGTAACTGCCGGCTGATACGCTTACTCGACTCGATTTTCTAAAACGTCCCTCTAACTCATTCGCGACCGCTCACAATTCGTCGTCCTGGGCTTGTTAAAGTCCCCAGTGACGCTAAAGTCGCGACATAGATGTGGAGGAGACTCGTTTCGACGCGTGTATCAGCCACTTCTGTGACGCTTTCACAAAACGATCCGCTTACGGTTGCACGATCGATCGAATTATGTTGTGCTACAGTAACGTAATTTATCGAAGCACTAATAACTTAGTATCGCATAGAAAGGCGCTTTGTCGACACACAACCTATTCACAAACCTCCTTTCACAAACCATCTTGTTTTTATTCTGATATCTGTGTGCGCGAAAATATTGTCAATAAAATATGGAGAAAATTACTTAAATTTGATTTAATTACTTAAATTTTTCAATTGGAAAAATAAATAGAAAGTGTCGTAAAACAATAATAAATAGATCTATGTATATCTTCGTGAGTTTACATGCGCGAAATTAATATTTATTTTGAAATCCGTGAAAGCGGACCATGAATTTTAGTATTAGAAATTTATCGTGCTTCTCATTTCTTATTTTCTTAAAAAATAAAAAAAGAGCTACAATCATATATTTAATCTTATACGTAAAATATTGATCGCGGTACGCGGACTGTGGTGTGTCGGTCGAACGTGGAAAAATAGAAAATCCGGGCAATCCGCGTGAGAAAGAAAAACGTGCGAGGGAAGGAACCGGGAGGAAAACGAACGATCCTGTTAGCCGTTGCACGGAAGTCATAAAGAGCCGGCAAATCTTTTCATTATCACGCCGCGTAAGTGATACGTATATCATACTAAAGGGGCTATTTCACGGGGCATTATACCGAGAGAAACGAGCCCGATCCCGAGCTCGCGCGAGCCATCGCGCGGCGGACGCGGACTTTTTTTCCGCGCCGCGTCGCTGCGTAAGTGCGTGAGAGAATTAAGCCGGGCCATTTCTCTAGTTTTCATCTACACCTCGTCCTTTTCGCGCCGTATCGCTGCGCATCATTCCCTTACCGTTCTTTATCATCCTCTCCCATCCCTTTACGCCGGCGCAACGTT